TTAATGTCCCTCTACACCTCCATGCTGTGCAGAGCTTATACAGGATTAGTGACAAGTGGAAGCTTTTTACCAAGTTTCCTCAATACTACAGTCAGTGTGATTTTAGGACATGTATGAGGGAGCACACCTCTCCTCTGTTCAGAATCCTTACATGGATTCCTGTCCCACGCAGAGTAAAAGCTCAATTTTGTCCATGCGTCTGGGCCCTGCTACCTCTCCAACTTCTGCTCTCCCACCTCTCCTCCTGCTCATTTACAGTTTTTTCCTTGGTCCAAATAAGCGTGCTATCACCTCTATGCTGCTGCTCCCTCTATTCCCTTCCCAAGATTTTCAATGGGCTCCCTCCCCCACTCATCTCAGGTCTCTGCTAGGAGGTCACATCAACAGCGAGGCTTTCCCTGTCTTCCCTACATTCTCCCCTATCCTACCCCGACCAACAGTGCGTACCCCCTTTACTGGTTTATTTTTATGCCATAGCAACTCACCACCAACTGTTCTGCTATACGTTTATATATTTAATTATCTGTATCTGAAAAGAATGTACACTACATAAAGGAAGGGAAGGATCCTTCCTTTCTTTCTTACCCTTATTTTTTCAATTAGTGTTTCATTCACTGTTGCCTTGCTATAAGCATTCAATAATTGTTTAAAGAACAGACAAGTCTAAGCCCTGGCTGGGTAGCTTAATTTGTTAGAACATTGTCAAGATACACCAATGTTGCTGATTCAATCCCTGGTCAGGGCACATACAAGAGTCAACCAATGAATGAATAAGTAAGTGGAACAACAAATATGTGAATATTTCTCTCTCCCTCCCCCTCCTCTCCCTCTCTCTCAAATCAATAAATTAAAACAAACAAACAAAGAACAGACAAGTCCAACTGCTCATCTACACATGAAGAAACAGGATCAGGGAGGACCTGCACCTTGTCTTTGGTCTTATGTTGAGACAGCAGAGAACCCCGTGTACAGCCTCCAATTCCCACTGCCCTCACTGCATATGCTGTTTTTAAACTTTCTGGAGCATTCAGAAGTTTCCATAATATCTATTAACAACTAACTTTTTTTCCTTTTCTAGAATTCAAACAGAAGAAGATCCCATTTCTTTCTTACCTTTATTTTTTCAATTAGTGTTTCATTTTCTGGCACACCAGGGTTTATAGCAATGATGATGCCTTCATAGCCATTGTTATTCAGCCGAACAAAGGAAGTATCGGACCCCTGCAGCAGGTATAGGACTAAGAGGAAGACAAAACTTCTGAATAACACCATTGCTGCTCTCCAGTTGATCCAGGACCGAGGGGCTTTGCTAGACCCTTCTCTCTCTGTATATATACTCCTAATCCTTATAGGTGGGGCTGATTATGGGTTGTAGACTGCACAAAGATCAGTGTTACATATGAGACCAAATATTTGAACTTACGTAATCATTTTATTGTATGTTACTGTAAAAGTGATAAGAAAAATAGTAGTAATCAGATCATTTTATAAAATACATTCTCAATTTTTTACTTGGGAAGTTTTTTCTATATTTTCTAATTTTGCTTAATTTCCTAAATATGGACATATACTTTTTATTTTCTGTAGAATACAGTGTGAAAATCAATAAAATTTCATAATGAAATGAATAGGAGAAATAATGCTAATTTTTTTTTCAGTTTTACAAAGCAATTAAATTATTTTGATTATTTCCCAAAATGTAAATAATGGAAGAAAATGTAAGCTTATTAAATGTAAATAACACCAAATTAGGGAAGATGTCTTTGAAATATAAGTTAAAAAAACTCTACTTTGATAAATTAAGGAAGATTTGATAAAGTTATTAGAGTAAAATTTTAACAACTCCTGCCCAGAAAATAATGAATAGAATTTGACATAAGCATGTCAAAAAAGTATGATAGAATGTGGACTATAACAAAAAAAACAAAAAAAGAGTCTGGTAGTGTGCTGGTTTCTTTGAAAGCAGAATGAATCATATTAATAGATAATATTTATTTGGTGCCAACCAGGGCAGAGATTCTCTCACTTAATCCTCACCACAACTCTTTAAGGTTAAGCCTGAATATGATCTTCATTAAGCATGGGGAACACAGAGTTTCGGGAACTTGCCAACATCGGGTAGCTCGTACATGGCAGAGTCAGGCTCTGTACCCAGCATTCCTACCTTAGAGTCCATGGATTTAATTACTTCACAATAAGGCAATGCTGTTTTATATGACAAATAATATAATAAGACTTTTTAAAAAAGGAGGAAGGGAGTCACTTTAGGAGTTGTGACGATGAATTAAGAATGTCTAGTCCTAAAGCAAAATTAGCCAGAACTCATTAGAAACTCAAAAGAGAACTAACCAAAAAAATAGAATCATAGAAAGAAAATATCCTTAAATTAAAAATTCAAATAGGAGATTACTTTCTTTCTGTCTCAAATGCATGTTTTATTGCTGTGATAAGGAAGGGTGGAGTTCACAGCTGAATGAGTAACACATTTTCAAGAGCCACAAAATAATGAGATTTGTCCTTTCCCATGTTAAATTTATCAACGGGAGAAGCATCTTGTATTCCTCACAGAGAGAATGAATATGGCAAGTCAAGAAAATGGGATATTAATGTTATGGTTTTTTTCTTTTTAACATCTCATCTCAGATTCTTCTCTTCTCCAAGAATTTAGCTGAATAACTCTGAATTCTTCAGGGAGGGTCAGACTTCTGATTACTATGGCAACACAGAGGTCTCTTATCATGGGACTTTTAAATCGTGGGTCAGTAACATGCTAGTCCTATCTAATAAAAGAAAAACATGGCAATTAGCTGTACATCTGCTTCTCTTCCCATTGGCTAATCAGGGTGATATGCAAATTTACTGCCAGCGAAGATGGCGGCTGACAGCCAAGATGGCGGCCGACAGCCAGGCAGCTTGAAGCGAACATGAGGCTTGCTTGCTTCAGTGACGGAGGACTCCAACGTTCCCCACCTGCTGCAGCTGCCTCTGAGTTTGCAGTTTGAAACATTGTTACAAATATAGAAGCTAAACAAAACCCCAGAAACCTGCTTTCAGCCAGCCGGGATCTCAGAGCTGGAGTTGAAACAGTGTTTCAATTATAGAACCCAAACAAACCAGATACCTGCTTTCAGCAGCAGAGGCCTCAGAGCTGG